GGGTGGCAGAAGAGCAGGGGTCTCTGGAAGTGGGAGGTGAGTGGGGGTGGGCCAGGCCATGTCTTGGGGGGAGGGAGCAAGGGGTGGAATCCTTGCAATTTGGGGATGGGGGCTGCTGGCACTCACTCACCCACTCCTGTTCAAAACCCGTGGAAATCCTTCTCCATCAGGATTTAAGACCCCATGCCCCTGCAGACATGAGAGAGTGGTTCAGTTAGGATCTGTGGGCAGGCAGGGGAGGGCAGGAAACATGGGGCAGATGGTCTGGGGGCAAGTGTCTGCAGGGGTGGGCTGGGCAGGGCTATGCCTATGCAGGAGGAGGCAGGCAGGCATCTCCAGGGACCATGGAAGTGAGCTGGATTATGTTTGGGCGGGAGTGGGGCTAAGCCATGTCTGGTCTGGGCAGGTGGGAGTGTCTGGGTGAGCAGCAGGGATGAGCCCTGCTGGGGAGATTGGCAGAAGGGATCAAGGATGCCTCTGGGCTGTGGAAAGGGATTGTGCTTTTTCAGCCCCGAAACTGTCAGGGGAGGGACTTGCTGTCACTTGGGCTGCAGCAGCACAGTGCAGTTGGAGTCAAAGAGCATCTCTTTTGGGTGAGAGAATGGGCAGAAGCTGGGCAAACTGGTATGCTGCAGGTCACTCCAGCATCCCTAAGTGATGGAGATTGCATGCAAGCATCCAATCAAAACACTTGAACCCCAGTTGATTAACATTGCAACCTTGTCCAATGCACTGGCCTTTTTTTTCTTCTTTAAATGACTGAAGTGCTGTGAACGTGTTCACGGAGCCATTCAACCAGCAGAACTATGTCCAATGGGGGAAATGTAACACTTGTATGTACCCTAGAATTGACTCATATAAAGGGGATCAGTCTAATGGTACAAAGTTCCTTCATTTTCTGTAGAAATCTTATATTTAAAAAAATGTTATTGACTTATCTATGGAAAACATTTAGTTCGTTTTGTGAATGCCTAGCCTTCTTCACCCAAGCTCTAAACCAAATCTTTGCACCCTGTTGCTAGGGCTTGGTTAGTGATATCTCCCTTACTGCAAATGACAATTCAAAAGGACTGAAACCAGTTTCATAAGTGTTCAGAATTTTTTTATTTTTCTTAAACGAATGTTAACAATCACGTGATATTTTTTTTAAGGCAGTAAGCCTTAAAAGTAGTTGTACAAAAATAGTTGTACTTTCTTAGAAAGGGTCAATACAGAAAACGGTCTACCTTGTCATTTCCATACAAGTGGTTCTTAGCTTTGAAAAATATGCAGACTTACAAATGGCAAACTAATATACATTATCATTTTTTCAAGCAATATTGTCCATCTTATTTCTGAGCAAACTCTTGCAAATCAGCTTCCTACTTCCAAGGTAATGTTTCCCCACCTAAGAGAAAAGTAGGTAGCTTACCTCTTCAGAGGCTAACTTCTGCAGGTACAATTACTGTTAACAGCCCTCTAAGTAAATTTCTCTGAATTGGCAAATGTAAGTGTGCAGCATATAAAAGGACAGTCATTAATGCCTGTGTTTAAATGCAAGCTTTTTTATTTATTTGAAATACCACGGAAGAAAAGCATAAAGCCTTCTGCCCTTAGCACTTGCATTCTTTGTTAGGCTCAAGCATGTAAATAGTGAATGGATGAAAACAAGTAGGATTCTTACTAGAAGTCAGAAGGCTAGATTCCAAGTTGGTGTCCTAGGCTGGATCACTTCATGCCAGCAGTGAAGCTGGCCAACCTCCAAAGTAAGTCTAGGACTTAACAACATTCAAACAGCTTAATTGTCTACACACAAAACCCTAGGTTGTTGCACAGGATTAAGCTTTCTAAAAACTACATTTTGGGATCTTAGCCAGCTGACCAAGCTACTTAGAAATGAGAACTGTTTTAAAAGGTGAGAACAATTTGCATTAGTAAAGACAAGGGGAAGCCTGCAGCATTAAGCTGACTAACCTCTGCTAAAAATCAATTAATCCTCACCATGGCCTACCCTATTTAATAGTTTGGTGCTAACTTCACTTATTAATATTTATTTAAAAAGACAGAAGACCTCCATGTTTGTATCGGACTATTATTTGGCAACCAACTTTGGCATACTGTGTGTTAGAGAGAAAATAGGAGGGAATGGCAGAGTTTTTCACTCTTATTCTTTTGTGTTAGGTGGACAGAGAAACTGAAAGAGAAAATCATCTTCATACATTAGTAAAGCTGCTAATTTGCTAGGCATGACTAGAACTGCTGTTGGACTGGTGGATTTCCAAAGACTGGGATGGTTGATCTTCTTGGCCTTGCCTAGTATGCCTGCTATGATTAGATGCAGACACCCCTTTGATTACCAATAGGGGACGGGAGATAAACACTTCCTTGACCTTCCACAGGTGTCACCCCCTGCTGTAATAAAGCAGGGGGTGGGACCTTAATTAGGTGCTGAGAAGTAAGTCAATAAAAGCAGTAGCTCCTAGGGGAGCTACCTAACTTCTTTTCAAGAATGCAGGTTGGCCCAGACAGTTTTGGTGTTGAACAAGTGAAGAATTCTATCTGCTTGCAGGTACCCCTACAGGCACAGTGAGGTAGGTGGGTTATGTTACTTCAGAAGGAATCCTGTTTTAACTGCTGAATGAAAAATGTGTCACTCCTATGAGAGGAGCTAACTATCTTCTGGGAGAAAAAATGAAGCATGGAAGTTTGAGCTAGTACAGTATGCCATTCTGCATTTTTTCTTGTCTACTTTTTAATATGGAACCTCTCTTCTCCTCACTTTACCCACTCACCCTATTTAACCACAAAGAAATGCAACAAAAACAAAACAAAACATATAACATCATGTATGTTATACACACAAGAATAAGCATTAGTAATTTCCTTGGACATCCTGCTACCATTACTAGTATAGACTTGTATAAACATGTTTTAAACATAAACTGGATATCCCCAGAGGGATTTTCATTTTTCAGGATTCCATGAGCTTTTCCAAGTCCTATTGTAAATTAGTTGTCAGAAGGAATATTTTATCAGTTCATTTGCCCATTACATTTGGGTGTTCAGAAGTAATTTTACAAAATAAAAAATGTCACGCAAAGGTCTGAAACCGTATCCCCACGCAGATTAAAATAAGCACAGAGTACAATTCTCAAATACATTTTCACAAATTGATCTGTAATCAAGTATGCAAGTTAAATCAGTGCTGTTTTCTAAATAATTTCAAATGTATTAAAAGATTCAATCAAACTTAGGACTGCAAGGTATGTATTAACTAATGTGAAAGGCAAGGATTTATTTAGCCTGCAGGTCTCTTGCTAAAGCAACATTTAAGGCTTGGATCTTCATAGCATATAATTATAATCTAGGTTCAGTAAAAATGCATAATAAAATGTGGTACTTTAAAAAAATAAATAAAAAGCTGCTGAATATACAATAAATTATAGTTATAGCATTGAGGAGTTTGTATTGTCACGCGTGCCCACTACCCCTATATTGCACAATCATTTAATAACATTGAGAATAGAGTATACCCCACACTCCCAGAGTGTTTTCTTGGTAAGTAGAGTTAAGAAAAAAACCCACGCATCCTTGTCTTTTGAGAGTATTCACTAGGCATCTGTATCATACGTTATCCCAGCTTCTGTGACCATTTCAGAAAACACTCCTTTCTGACGTAATAAGTTGTGGGGAGTATCAAATTCTACAATTCTTCCAGAGTTGAGAACAAGCACTCTACAATGCAAAAAAACAGAGAGGTGATTGGGTGTATGAATGTGGAAACAGCCATCCAGCCAGACTTCTTAGCGCTACTAAGCATGGTAATTAACTGGAATTTGTAAAAAGTAAAAGCTTTTACAAGGAAACATTGCAGTATATGACTCAGCTACTCGTTAAGCTATGAACTCCCGTACTAAAAAGGAATTTTACTTGGCTGTCTTGAGTTTGAACAGAGCAGACCATTTATTTTGACAAATTAAACAGATTTCTTATTCTGAAACCTAACTACCATGAAACTGATATTCCTTCAGTAATTAAAACAGAGATGGGGAGATTGATATAAAACTATTATTAGTTTTCTTAATGTTGCTATACTCTCAGTGTTACTATTCCTCTAACTACTTTGTATACTATTACTAGTATTATTAATTCAGATTTTATGGCACTAATTACTAATACATATTTTATGGCACTGCCAAACATCTGTTGATGACCAAAGGAGTAACTGTGGTGAAGGTATCAAGCCAGGTCAGTTTTTATGCCTACTGACTCTGCCAATGTCTAAATGAAGCAACTACAGGTTTTGTAAAGCTCAGTGTTGAAACTTGCCTTTCAGAATCCACAATTGTATGCAACCTGTGGGCTATAGTTAGGACTGTACAGTTGTCAAACTCCTTTTGGATGGTGGACTGTATGAGGTGGTCTGTTTCCAGGTCAACAGAGGCTGTTGCTTCATCTAAGACCAGAATCTTTGTCCTCCGTAGCAAAGCGCGGGCAAGACAGACAAGTTGCCTCTGCCCTACACTGTGAAGAAACACACTTGAGGAAGACTTATTTCAATAGCTTTGTAAAAGTATTGGTATGTCCCCCACTCCCAAAAAATGCTGTATAATCCCTCTATCAGAAGCTTTCAAAGAGGGAAATCTACAATAGCCCGTATTATTAAACTGAATCAAACCAGCTGCTCTCAGTGGGTACCTCTACACAAAATGCTTTACTGCACATTAGACTAATATAATATGCAGTAAAGTGTCACCATCTACATGTGCATGGCAATTACTGTGCATTAGAAAAGTCTAATGCATTGTTTGCTAGCACCAATACAAATTGTTCCCAATCAGCCGAGGAAGCAGGGGGCCACAATGGCTGCTTAGCCCTGCGGGCCCCCAGTGGGGCAGGGGGAGCTGTCCCGGCTCTGGGGGAAGCTCCTTCCCAGCTGCATGGAGTGCAGAGCTATAGGTGCTCCCACACAGGCGAATCCTGCTTGACAAAGACATCCTTTTCAACATGGGCGAGTGTCGGGGAGCTGCCTTCTCCCTGCTCCCCTGTAGTCTCGCCTTAACTGCCACCGCCACTGCAGGGCTGCTCCAGGGGATGTGATCTCCTGCTTGATCAACTCCCCTCCCTAGGGGATGCTACAGAGTGCATGGCCCACCCTGGCCTGAGCTCATGAACAAAAATACCCTTTGCAGAAATGCAGCATGGCAGCATTCAAGCTCTGACAGCAGCAGGGTGCTTGGAGGGTGGTGAGGCTTCAGCAACTGTATGGCTGTGGGAGTGCTGGAGGAAGGGGATCCCCCTCCACATGGCAGTGAGCTTCACAAGCAGAGCAGACTTGTGCCAGAGGTAAGAGTGCCCCAACTGGCTGGGCTGCTGCTCTGAACTGGACTGGTCCTGTTGGACGCAACTTGCTCCCAAAGTGGAAGCGCATGTAGACACGCATTAGGGAGTGCTTTAACAAGCCTGAATTTTCTGTGCAGAAAATTCAACCGCATTAATTGCTTGTGTAGATGCACTCAGTCTGTTTAAGATGACTGTTTGGTTCCATTCTTCAGGTGAATCCAGTTTCTACTTTCTTACCTTAGCACTAGTCTACACATTTCCAAAGGCTTTGCTAGTATAGTCAAACCATATCCTTGAATGAGATAAGTTATGCTGGCATCTATATGTGGGATTTTGCTAACATAGTTATATTGAGTAAGGATATGAGGTATTTTTGTTTTTACTTCCTTTTCTTCTGCTCCTAACACACAGCCATCCTGACACAACTTTGTAGTGTAAACCTGACTTCAATGCTTATTACTGTATTCATGTCCTGGTATAGATGCTGAGGCAAGTTTGTAATTGACTGTTACTTGCAGCAGAGTGTCAGCGCTGTTTTAAGGAGGTTTTAAGGAACCTACACTGTGTCTTTGTAATTTCTACAAGGCACTTGCAATCTGAACCAGTCTACACCTTAAAAATCCAAGTTGATATTCAATATACTTTCCACTTATGTTCTATATTTTTAAAGATGTCTTTCTACCATGTTGTTAAATTCTTCCCAAACAACCTAACAGATTATACAAGCTTCCTAGATTTTAACACAGTGCAATGGTGTAGTTTTCCTCAAAACAATTTGCTCTACAAAACATTACCTTGACACAACTTTGAATTTAAAAATGCATATAAGCCAAACTAAATAGCTGTTTTCCTACACTGAACCAGCAGTAGAAGACAGAGAGTGTATATTACAGCGTAGTCTCCCTACACTCCCTCCCTTCTCCCATTTCCCCCTTCCTGACTTGTTACATTGTTACTTTCTCCTATAAGTACAGCTATTCTCTTTGTGGTTCCCTTCCTGAACTATTAACTGATCTCTGATATACTTCAGCAGAGACTTATCTGTTTTGAAGACCAGAAGGTATCACTAAATCATACAAAGTTTGGTATCCTTTCTAACTCAGTCCAGAGAATGCTGACCTGTTTCCATTTAGCTAGGTGACCACAGAATAATTTCAATTGCTACAGTAATCTTGTTTAAAATGGGGGAATAGGGGGACTATTTTTGTGGCAGGGAAAATATTAGAATGTGAAATAAAACATGCAGAATGAAGAACAAACAATTTAAAAGAGCTGAAGTCCTTCCTTTAGATATAAGATCAAGTAATGCTACCTGAGGTTTTCACCACCCTCTGAAACTTCATGAAGGAGCTTCTTCGGAAGAGACTGGACAAAATTCTTTAAGTCGCCCAACTCCAGTGCCTCCCAGAGCTCAAGATCGGAGTGCTTTCCAAGTGGATCCAAGTTTGACTGCAGGGTCCCGGAAAACAAGACAGGGTCCTGAAAAATGAGAAAAGTTACTTTCACAACACCCTCACACATCTAAATAAATTGGTGCTTTTCAACAAATGCCTGCAAGACTGTTAAGATCACTATAGAAACAAAACTTTTTAAAGGGGAAATCTGTAAGTAAAAAGGTGAAACTAGGTGAGGTTGAGTCGTACTCAAATGAGGGAGCCACCCACTCTGCATGGAAACGCATACCCAAGTTGCAATAGCCTGTCAATCATGGATCAGCCTCGTCATCCATATTCAGACCCACAGATAAGACAATTATCCTTGACCAAGAGACTGGTGAAGGCAACAACTGTAGTTGTTAGGGTGATCCCTGCCCCACAACAATTGGAAAAACAAATTCCATCCTGTGCATTAATAGTTACACGTGTATTGGAACATCAATTCTCATTGTTGAGAAGTATTAGAGTTCAGTATAGTGTATATAAATGGTAAGAATAGTAGATGTCCTCTTCTATGTGGACCAACACTGGACCAGATGGGACAATTTGCCAGCGTGTTTCACGGTAATTTAGAGTGGAGGAAGGGTGAGAGAACCTTGGGGATCTTAGGTTTCATTATGCTATCTGTCCACTAGGGACTGACACTTTCCATTTTTTCCAACACTAACACTTTGTTCTGTCTTTCTTATTTTGTCCCTACTCCAGCCCTCTTTATTCCAATCCTATCTCAAGCCTACCCAATCTTAGCCTCTATTATTCAAGGTTTGCTTTTCTCAGCTCTTCCTACCCTGCTATTCTAAGTCTTCCTTTTCCACTTTCTGAGATGTTCTTTGTTGTGATTTACTCTGTTCCTTTCACAGCTGATTTATTCTTTCTACATAGGAACCAGGCAACTTCCTCAATAGAGGTGTCCAGATACATCATGGGCTAGAGCTCAGGGGTGACCTGGTGGCAGCCTATAAGTACATCAGGTGTGTGCATCAGGATCTGGAGGAAGACCTGTTCACCAGAGTGCCCCAAGCGATGACAGGGACCAATGGTCACAAACTCCTGCAAGACCATTTCAGGCTGGACATACGGCAAGACTTCTTTACTGTCCGAACCCCCAAGGCTTGGATAGACTCCCTCCAGAGATGGTGCAGGCATCTACTCTGGACTCTTTTAAGAAACGTTTGGGCACTTATCTTGCTGCGATCCTTTGACTGTAGCTGACTTCCTCCTCCTGGGGCAGGGGGCTGGACTCGATGATCTTTTGAGGTCCCTTCCAGCCCTAATGTCTATGAAATCTATGAAACAAGACCTCCAATCCCAGAGAAAATATTGCTTAGTTTAGGACTGGAGCATGGTCAGTGGAGAAAACAACATTTCTAGGCAATTTAGTGACTAAAAGAGAAGATCCTTCTGTGTGTGGCCAAAGCG